TCCTCGCCCCCCATCGGCGGCCGAGATAGCCCGCGAAAGTTCCGGAACGAAAGGGGCGTGGTCATACCGAGTTGAGTCATCGGCTGCGGAGAGCGTGCCAACCGTCTTGCCCTCTTCCCAGCCTTCGCTGCGTATCGCGCCGACGAAATGACGAGAACCGTCTGGAATGTCGCGCGCAAGGTATTTAACCGAGCAGCCGAGATGAGAGATCAGGAGAAGACGGAAGTTGCGCCAGAGTGCGAAGGGATCCCGCCGTGTAGTCGGCGAAGGTTTGTCCGTAGGGACGAAGCAGGAGATGAAGAGGATTTCCACCTGGGGGTGAAGGCCCGAGCTACAGGCAAGAGAGTGTGTTTACCGCTATCGAGCGAGGACGCGTGGCAACAGCTGCGTGTGTGAAGCCGACGTGTTCGGGCGAAGAAGTTTGAAGCTTGGAGAGTGGCCAATTGAAGGCGCGAGATTTCCTGGAAGAGAAACTTCGAGGGCGCGGAACGACAACAACGCTGGACTTTGAGTGAGTGATTCTCGGAAGAGTATCATCCAGACTTTTGTTCCAAGAACTTTGGACTGGATAGGTTTCTATCTCTTTAGTCTTTAAGTGTCTTGGCTGTTCAATGCATGTGACTGCATTGTAGAGCGTATCGTTCGTTGTCTATGTCCGTTGTTTTGAGTGTGGCTGATTGTACTGTGTAGTACGTTGTTTGATTGGTGACGTATTGTATGTAACTATTGTGGAGTGTGCATACGTGTGTATTGTTTTGATCTGCCGTTAATGAGAATATAATTTTGTTTGTTTATCAACTCTCGGCTCTGACTTGTTCTTTGGACCACAGCCGGCGTCCGCTGGCGCGCCAAAAAGGACTACTTCTAAATTGTCCACGCTTTCGTGGTGCGGTTCGGGGGGCCGATACTTCGACCCTTGGAATTAGCCCGGCGATTGCCTCCCTTATAAACGGGACCGGTGTGACAGCCACACTGATGATGCGTTCGCGGCTGTTTTGCTAGCTTCGCATATGCCAAATTGGGTATTACGTGACGCCAATGGATGGCGAAGCTATGTGACCCGTGCAAATATGATAATCATGAGAAGCGTGTCATGTGAGAAAATGATAACATGCCACATTCAAGGCGCCATTACATTTCGACGTGACGCGGTGCGCGTGCTTGCCGGCGTTCATTTCGTCGCGTCCCGCCGGCGTTTGCCATGGCAGGTGCCGGTCCTGCCGAATAATAGTTTTATACAATAATACCTAGAGGACAATCTGGCGCCTGTGTTTACGCGGGCTCCTTCAGCGGCCTTTGTACACCCATGGGACTTGTGGGAATTACAGGCTTCGGATCTGCTTCGAATGGATCACATTCTTGAGATTCGTGACACTTGTTTGCTGAGTTTAATACAAAGTGATACGAAGTTAGGTCTAGTTGAAACTTGCTTCATTTTTGAGGCCGAAACTTGAATGCAAAAGGCTTTTGTGACCATGCAATACTCTCTCAGTCAGGTGCCAGATATCGAACAGCATATAGGCGGTGCGCTCCTGCGTACTGAATAAAATTCTGTCTATAGGAAGCCCAGCAATAAAAAATACGAGTGACAGCCGCGTGGCGAAGATGTAACGTCTACATCTGGTAAGAGCAGGCGCAAGAAGAAAAAAAAAGAAAGAAGGGGGAGAGCCGCCGTCTCAATCAAGCCAGCCTGGCGCCAGGAGCCGGCATCAACTTACGCAGAATAAACTTCCTGGATATTTTTTAGGAAAATATTGCCATTCTTTTACCCGAACGGCCGCACCACGCATACACCTCTCCCGGCTCTCGCCGCTCGGGCCACGACGAGCACCGCGCGTGTTATCAGCGTGGCATAGCATTCTTGATAGGAAACTGGCATGAGCAAGGTTATAGGCCCGCCCCAATGAAAATTAATTTTGAGAGTCTAATATACAGCTAATGCACACCTAATGAGTCATTACGTTTACATTAGACCTGCAAAGCCTAATGTCTCTTAGCATCAGGGGTGCAATAGAGACTCAGATGACAACGTGCACCAGGATTTCTGATGATCAAAGTACGCAGACTTTCTAGTGCGTATCCTAATGTCAAAACACATCACAATGAAAAAAAATTTCGTTATTCTTTTAGAGCCAACAAAAACTCAATTTCTTACTACTACTTGTAATAGTCGCGGGAATTCTAGATCCCAAAACCACTCTATGATAATGAAGAACGCCATAGCGGAGTGCTTCAGAAATTTCGACGATCTGTGATTTCTTAACGTGCGCCTAATTCTAATTCAATTACTTGCTGATCTCGACATTTACGTCCATGTTGTTTTTCGGAAATCTAAAACACTAAACAGTTTGTATTTCCATAGATTTTCATACCATGTTTCAGTAAATATAACATCGACATGAAGGAAATATCTTCGTACACTTACTTAAGTGTAAATGAGCTAGACCATAAGAGCAATAATAATAATAATAATAATAATAATAATAATAATAATAATAATAATAATAATAATAATAATAATAATAATAATAATAATATAATAGTCCAGTGTTTTTATCCATTTATTCACGTAAGACAACTCGAAGGCGATAGCCATCTCTTTTTTCCAATCACTTGATGGGTTCATCCTGCCACCCTTCGAAATTTTCTGCAACTAATGTGGTTATGCATTGCCTCCACGTCTAATGACACCGTTTTGCGCAGCCAATCAGCCAGCCAGCCTTTGGACAAGCTATGATGGGATTGTGTGCGATGTAATGACTGTATTATGTGGCGCTATAATGACACGTAGTCTTGTGGTGATTACTTTTTGCATGCATCTATCGTTCCCTACATTGCAGGATGCGAGACGCTGCCAACGGTCAAATTTTACTTTTATGAGGCATCTAAGGCTTGCGATTTCCTTAGTAATCAATGATTTATTATATCCTTATTCATGTAGCGTGCCCAGAAACAAATATAAGGTTGCAAATGTGCATCTAAAAAACAACATCAATAACTATTATTATTAATATTATTATTATTATTATTAGTATTACTATTATCATCAATATTATTGTTATTAATATTATTGTTATTATTATATTGATGATGATGAGATATTTGTGCCAGAAGCACGATGTGGAGGCAAACTTTACTGGGGCATTAAAAGGTGCTTTCCACCACCTTGCGCACATAAATTTTGAATATGTATTTAAATCTAACAAGCATAGCGTCAAACGCTTACGCTGAAGCGGTACCCCGAACAGTTGTATAAACGCGACAATTTGCCATTTGCATGGAGGGGGTGATTTCATTTGCCGATCAGTGGACACCGATGATTGATTGATTTGTGGGGTTGAACGTCCCAAAACCACATTATGATTACGAGAGACGCCGTAGCGGAGGACTCCGGAAATTTCGACCACCTGGGGTTCTTTAACCAAATCTGAGCACACGGGCCTACAAAATTTCCACCTCCACCTAAAATGAAGCCGACGCAGCCGGGATTCGATCCCGCGACCTGCGGGTTTGCAGCTGAGTACCTTAGCCTCTAGACCACCACGGTGGGGCTCAGTGGACACCGAGGGCAATACAGAAGACAAACTCATCGTATCGTTGTAGTGAGCATATGCAAGCGTATTTAAATATCATTAATACTTTTACAACAAAAATGTGGCTGGGAGCGGAAGCTGCCAAATGTGTGCCCCTCTTCCCCCTCCCCGCCACCGGTAGGTGGTGGAGAGCGAAGGCGTGATGGAGAGGAAGAGATAAGTTTTAATGCGCATTCATGCCTCTCAGCCCGCCACTGCTTTAATGTCACAACGCTAGCTGTCACGTAGAGACAGCGGCGTAGATAAAAAACAAAAAAAACAAGGGGGTGTAAGGAAAGGAATCCCTCGTTGATCTCGAGGAAGGGCAGGGGGGAGCAGGCGAATAGTCATTTTGCTCTATCTATACCACGCAAAAAAAAAATCGCCCGAAAGGCGCAGGGAGGCGGAGGGCAGAAAGGGGTAATGAACTCGGTGTGCCAACCCTTAGCTACGCCACCACAGAACACCACTGCGTAGAGACGTAAACGAACGGACACCCGGTCAGATACCTTTCTTCTCTGTAGAACAGGAATGCACGCCATTCATTTTTTTCTGCACACGAACAAAGCCGCTGCTGCAAAAGCATTGGCCTTGAAATCTGTACTTATTGGCATTGTGTTGCAGAGACTCAGAGATGGCCATTGTGGTTGACATGAGTTGTGAAACATTTTTGTTATGCAAAACAAAACACAAACAACTGCATAACAACACATTTTGCAAACTAATTATTAAGAAGGCTTCATTTGGCTTGAAAAGTTATAAATACACTTGATTGTTATTTTAAAATATTTATATAGTGACTCGTTAGTGCTGACACCTGAACACTTATTTTTGTTAAGCTTGTAGTTCAGCAGTTGCAACAGGCCTCGTTGTACTGCGGGCTCACCAACAGCTTAACGCAAGAACATGTGCAGCAAGCCCCGCCGCGGTTGTCTAGTGGCTAAAGGTCTGTGCACACCGGCGACTAGCCGCGGTCGCGCAACCATTTGCCACCGGCGACCAAATTGCGAGCGACGTTCACACCGGCAAGGCTTCATGCGAGCGACAGGAAGTCGCAAACCCGGAGTGTCACGTACAGATCTCGTTATCAACGAGAACTTGGGCGACCGGCGACGATCAGCTGATCAGATACGGAGCCCGCTGAGCGCGATGCGTTTGTTTCTGACGGCTGTGTTTGCGTAGCGTTCTCCCGGCAGCATCATAGACTTCGAGTCGAGTTATGAATAAGAGGTTGTGGCGGTGCTGATGTGCTCAGCCAACGTGTCAGCGCTGGCAGCACGAAAGCGTTCAAAGCAAGCAAGGCGGTGGTGGGTGAGACCGTCCCTTCGCTCGCGAGAAGTGGCTGGCCACACAGGGCGTCTGCTTCCCGACTTGCGCTCGCACGACGAGGAGTATTTCCCAGAGTAAGTTTATGGTTGTTTTACGTGCTTATAAGATAGTGCATAACATGTTATCTCATTCTTTTTTTGGTGGTTAGCTTCATGCGGATGCCGCCACGAACGTTCGACACTTTGCTCGAACTGCTGCGCCCCGCAATATCCAAGCAGGACACAAACCACCGGCCTACTATTTCGGCGCACGACTGCCTGGCCATGACCATTAGGTAAGAGCGTGTGGTTTGAAGATTAATATGCTGTGGCTTGTGGCTGCGCTTCGCTTGTAAGGAAGTTTCGCTTGGGCGGATATTACGAATTGCATTTATGACGTATGCGGGCTCGATGGTGCAGTCGTTACTGCGGTCGGCAGTTTAGGCGTAAATGAGGGGTTTGATTACGGCCGCATCGATCGCCTTTAGGTGGAGGCGAAATGCACTTAAGTTGGCGCGTTTGTTGCGCACGTACGTTAAGAAACTCAGGTGGTGAATATTTCAAAACCACCTGTTGCTTATTGCTTATTGCGTAATCAGTACGTGGTTTCCGCTTGTAAAATCACAGAAAATGGTATTCTGCGCTACACAATGACATTGCATTGTGGACGTGTCAGTTCCCGTTTTCTGTTATCCTGATGCACAGGTACTATATAGAGCGCAATTATAATGTTATAAATTAAGTGAAACACAGTACTCAGCTTTGCGAGTACAATTATGCACAAATTTTTAGGACAAATTGATGTGCTGTTCAAGGCACTCAAAGAGTATTCATGCCAAAAATATTTTTCAGCATCGAGGAGGGAGGAGGTTCAAACAACCACCCTTTATGTATCTGCATGCACGACGGTGTGTGTTTGCACAAGTACACATGCGAAATTTCTCACAAACATGACCAGCGTTTAACCCCTGCACCTTGCTACAATTTTACGTATGTTCTGTTAAATTGACAGTCACTCAATACACTGTGGACAGTAGCGCAGTGGCAATACATATTGTGGACGGTAGCACATTGTGTGAAAGCAATTTAAACAATAGACTTGAGTGATGTACGTTTTGCGAAATAGGTTCTCCTTGAATTTACAGCTTTTCAGAAATCCATGCTAAGCAAATTGCTACAGGTACGTTTAGGTTGCCCTTCTTCAACCTGAGTGATATGAGCACGTACGCTCTTCCAAGAAAAGGTTGATGCATGCTTATGATTCGCCAAAATGTGTAGGCACAGAAATATTCACTGCATATACGACAGCTTGCGGAGTGCACAAGCAGTGCGACTGTTCGCGCGACCGCTCCTAGTTGCCGGTGTGCACCAGCCCTAATTAGGTTTAACTGTACAGCGCAATCGTTCTCTCAAAAGTGTACAATGGTTTTGTCCAAATGCGAGCAGTTGCTGACCTTGGCTGTCATGGAACTTGACATATCAAAATTTCTAAAGTTAGTCAGTAAATATGCATTCTATCAGAAGCTGTGATGATGCCATAGAAAATAGACAGCAGAGGTAGCGCTCAATATTACATAAAATTGAGGAACACTTTGGCAATGTAGCGTCATGACTATGACACTGAAATGCAACTATGCGTGAGATTTTCAAGCTCAGCATGCTCCTTTTACAGTGTGTGTCTTCCATCATGGCTGTGCCGACAGAAATTTCACATGGCACTTATGCGTTTTAGGTATGCCAAGGAAGTGCGAGATAAATTGGCGCACTACTTCGTCACAGACGGTCAGGTGCCTTGGCAGGACAAAGTGGTGAACAGCACTTGAGGCGTACAAGGTGAAGGTGGGTTGTAAATGCATTTTATTGCTTACAGAACTTATGTACATAGCATCTTTTTAAGCTAAACAAACAAGAGAAAAATCACCCGTGACACAACAGATACATTACAGGGAAAACTGTCATGTCCAAATATAATCATGAAAACACAAAAATAAATAATTCATGTTAAAATATTTGAGTTATTGCACGGTTATCACTACAATTATCACAGAAATAATTTGCCCTAAAGGGGTCATGACACCCAATTTTTAACCATAATGTGTGTTGTATGAGCTGATTCTTGTATGTTCACATACAAGCTGGCAAAATTCGAGCGATTTGGTCAAGCTGCTAATTTTTAATCGCATATTTTTATAAACGAGCTAGTCGCCTGACAGTTGGGCAATACTGACGCACTCACTATCCATGACATCACGAACCGCTTGCTCGACAAGCTGCTGCACAGTGTGCAATCTGGCAGACGGTCGTGTTCCGTCATCAACTGCGCTTGCAATCAAATTTTTTCGCATTGTTGAACTCTCCACTTAACCTAAAGACTACCAGGGTTCGAAACATGGCTACTGTGTCAGCAATGTAGCGCTGGTACTTGCAGCAAATAATTTCGGATGTCAAAATGGGTCCTGTGAATGTGCAATGCGTATACCATTTGCCATTGCTCCTTCGGCTTGTGACGTCTCGCATGCCATGACAAAATGGCGGTCACTTGTGGTAGGTTGAGTTTTAGGAGCCGAGCACTTCTACGGCATATTTTTGATTAAAATGATCTTTTAAGGCCCCTTTTCACACGTGTACTAGCACATTTTACTCTGTAGTTTTGTTTTTTGCTGACAACCGTCAATTGTTGAGTGACGAGTCATGACCCCTTTAAGTTGAGACTAGAAAAGTGAACACAAGATAAAAAAAGATGGGTGTCATTGACATTATATAAACACTTCAATTTGCTTCACTGCTCTGATGCAATTTTGCCTCTGCTTCATACAGCATAAGTTCTACTGCATGCATTACATCTTGTGCAATGTGCACTGGTAGCTCTCTGAGGCGTGCATCGGTACGTAGAGCGAAGAAACCAATGTTATCTTTTTGATGACCCCCTTGTTCGCTCTGATGTGTTCAAGGTGCTCCATGCACGCTTGCGCCACAGCTTCATGGCTTGTGCCCTCTCCTGCATTGCTGCAAAGCAAGTGTGATCTGCGATTCATGCATATGAATGCTTTAAGGTTGCATTGTTACTTCGTGAAGCACCATTTAGCAAAAAAAACTGTGTGAGAACGACAAGGTAGAAACAGAAGAAACAAGACAGAGCACTGACTTTCAACTAATGTTTGTGCTTTTCGGCACTAAGAAAGAAAAAAATATAGAGGAACTGAAGCAAACTAAATAGCACACTGAAAAGATAAATGTGTCAATAGGGCGTCTACCTCTCTGTGAGAAATAAATGGGCTTTTGATCTTTGAAACGGACACTCGTGCTTTGGGACATGGTGCTGATGTTCTGATATTAACGCCTAAATACTACGGTAGTTACATGGGTTCTGTCTGCCTTAGTATAAAGGTGCCCACAATAAAAACATCAGTTTACAGTCAGTGCTCTATCCTGTTTCTTCTGTTTCTACCTTGTCGTTCTCACACTCTTTTTTGTTACTATGTCTGTGTACCAACTTGACCGAGGGTTAACCTTATAAAGTTTTGTATTTTGTAGCATGCGCAGGATTGTTAGAAAAAAATCTGCAAGTTTATTCTCTAAGAGTTAGCGGTATATCTCACCTAGCGCCCTCGCAGGTCCGTTGTCGTCTTGACGAGCGTGACCTGCAGTGAATTATAATATTGCTTAAATGTACAGAAATAGATCCTTTTCGAAAAGTTGTGATTGTGATCTCTTGCCAGGAGTACCTAAAATCATTTTTTCGTTTACACACCGTCTTGACGGTGGCTGCTCTCTTGAGGTGGTTGCTGAAGCATCACTGCAGAAGGAGGCAGTATTATTGTACAACTTATAAAATGTTACAATTGCATGCAGCAGTATCTGGTGTGAAAACATTAGGCACATTCTCCAAATGTGCTAGAACATGAAGAAGGTTACAAAACATGTTTTTAATATTTATTATATTGGCTATCTATGCATGTCCTTCATTTGTCATTACTTAGGTGGATTCATAAAGGTTTTACTCATTGCTGCAGGTGTCGACACCAGTCTCCTCAGCCGTATCAGAGGTACGTTCCGGTTCCGCTGCATGGCTTGGCCGAGGCGGTGATCTGCAGTGATGAAAACTTTTCTCTATGTATTTGATGATGCCACTAGTACATGAACAGTTTTAGGCATTCTTCGGGAGTTAAAATGCCATTATGATTTCACTCAACACGAGGTTTATTTTACACTTGCGTTACCTCTTGATTGAGCACTGCTGTATTGAAGGTGTGCATACAGAAGTTTAATGTGCCTATTATGTTAACAAAATGCTATGTAGGTTGCGCATCTAAATGAGAACAAGAGATATTGTCACGGAGATGAAGTAAAGGTAGAGGAAGAACTCAAGCAGCTGATAAGCACGCGAGGGTGTTAATCAGCCATTGTGAATCTTGCCTGTGGGTTTTCCCGTGTAAACGCATTTTGTACAAAAGTCTCTAACCCCGTAACAATATCTCACTGGCTATGTGAATAAAATTTATACAGTCAATCCTAAATGGCTGTGAAAACGATGTGTCTGATGAAACTGTGCCTGCTGTCATTATGTTTCTTGAACACATGCTGCATACGACTTTTGCAGCATCATTTTACTGCTAGGAATGAGTGAATGCTTCACATTATTCAGCTCCCTTGTATTGCAATCAGCACTGAGCACTTGTTCATAACGAATTGACATGAATGTGTTGCCAGTGTATGCAGATAATGCATTAGTTTGCTTAATTGCGGCCTGTCGCTGATGAATACTTTGCTTTTTCAGAAATATTTGACGTTGTACAATAACCACATTCACAGAGAAACAATGCCTGTGCCCTCATGTATTCCTGTGTGCTTTTGTTCAGTGTTGAGTGCTGAATGTATTTAAAAAAATGCAGTGGTTTGGGCAAGCTAACGACCTGAACACCGCCTTTCAAGCACGATTGTATTTTTTCATAATTTTGCAAAGTACAATCACCTAGTAATAAAAATTAATGTTTCTAGGTTCACGTCCATGCGTGTACAGCTTCAGGTGCATGCACATGGTACCGAAAACTTTTGTGCATGCTCACCTCTCGTTTGCCTCTTCTGCTGTGATGTGGCTGCTGCAAGAGAACATGCAATATGTGATTCTGTCAGTGCTATTGTTTGCATTTTTAGAGCATTTTCACTGTTTTGCAACAATATAAGTACTTATGCTGCATTTTTGTAATGAATATGTGCAATGCTTGTCTATGAACAGCCTCATGACACATGCAATAAGCGATCTCTTTAGATTTTTAGATTTTGTATTAAGCCTTCCTTCTTTTGGTAAATGAAAGCCGAGAATGACACAGAAAGTACACTCAATTCTTTCATTCTTACTGTTCTGTCTTCAATATTCTGTTTTGTGAAGCTGTCCACGTGTTACTTGTACGGTATGCTATACTTTTTGCATTGTGCTGATGCATTGTGCTATGCTAACCAAAACATTCCATTTTTTGTTCAATGGAGGGTAAGCATTATTCATTACTTTTGGTCAATGGCACTCATGTTGCACAGTACCCTGAAAGAATGATGCACAGAGTTATTCTTCGTAGCGGTAGCCACAATTACTCGACATCAAAACAGCCCATTGCCACCATGTTCATGATCACATGCATGCCCACTGTGAATTACCTCTTGGGACTTCTATGTTTATGTGCAGTGTACTTGTGTGTATTGATATGTGTGTATTTATGTGTATGTATAACAGTCATGTGAATTAAATCAACTTTTTTTTGTTTAGTACTCAATAGTCAGCTAATAATGAACTGAAGCCACAGGCTCAGATTCCCCTTCCATTAATTCAAGCATGGCCTCAAAATGGGGCCATTTTATTGTTGGAATGTCGGCTGCTCTGGCTCCACTTCTTTGTCTTTCACGTATGTCTAGTTGTTAGCTTTTGAAGATATCACGCAGGTTCTTAAATCGTTTCTCAACAAGGACACCTGAAAACAAAACCCTTGCTGTAAGAGTGTATTGTGCATACTGTATTGCTGATAAATTTTCTACTTTATTTCAGCACAATTGTGAGCGGTCTTTATTTTCTTTGCCCAAATCATTTCGGCTGCAGCACCTTAGAAATCTGAGTATTGGGCATCAAAATGAATCGCATGCCATCTAAACTTAAGTATTGGTAGGGGCTTAAACATTGCAAAATCTCTGCCCATGATTAAGGGAACCTGCAGCCGAGGGTTCCAGAAATGCCGCCCACCTAGTGTTTTCGACCGTCCACCTACATGTGCACGACATCACAGCTGACGCAATGATTAGTTGCGCAAAGAGTTATTTACACTGTTTCTTGAAGGTAAGCATGTCTGCCAAGCTATTGTAACAAAGAGGCTGTTTATACTGTCGGCAATTGAAGTTCACTTGCAAGAAGTCTAGTTCATGAACCAGCACATGATGTCTTTATCACCTTCAGAGTGAAACTTTCTAAGCATTACTGCATTGTGCAAAACTCCACAGGTGAGTATATACCATTGGTATCGGCCAAGCGAAACTGTCGTGTACAGCGGGAGCGATTTTTGTCAAACAAAAGCAATTATGTTAAATAACTTGAAAAGAAGGATGAAACTAACTAGAGCAAGATGACAGTTTTTGAGCGAAAGAAATGCAACAAACATAGTATATGACTCAAAGTGTAACATAGAGAGAGCGAGAGGAAGGAAATTATAAGAAAATAAAGGGACCAAAACATGAAGACATACCAACACATAGAAGCAGACATGAAAAGTTGACTTTAAAATATAGGAACAAAGAAAACAAACAAAAACGAAACACAGTTGGAAGCGGAGAGATATAACCTCTGGGAATAAAGGAATAATCGAAATATAAAGGCACCAATAGACAAAAACACAGGAGAGGAAAGCAACAGTTGTGAAGAAATGAGGATTAGATATGGGCCACATTACAGAGGAATAAATTCCCCCATCTGTGCTTTCCTTCAGTGTTCGCCCTGCCCCTAGAACACTACCATATCTTTTTTTTACGATTGCATGTCATTTGGCATCAACAGCATGTCTGACTCCCAAATCCGGACATTTGAGAGTGCTGCTAAATATGTTTTGTATGTCTTAATTACACGCTCCTCTATGGAGTGCACAAAATGCGCTCAAAGCAGAAGCTACTTTGCATTCTTTTTTAAAACAGCACAACTGGAATGCATAGGCAGAATTAAAGCGTAACACCCCCCCCCCCCCCTCCCTCACCGCGCTCTAGATATTATGCATTGCAAATGCCGCACGTTCACAAAAGCACACATTCCCTTCGCCAGACGATGAGCACAAACACAGCAAGTAGCATTCTAGGTGAGTTGGCAACTGCGAGCAGTATTTCAAACGTCTGAGCTTTATTATCAGCTATACAATGTTCTGTCATGTCGATTTCGATGTTAAACTCGGAAAGTCGCGAGAACAAACGTGCACACAACTGCGCTCGCATACATCACAGTCAATACATCTCATGCAAACTAAAACCTTGCAATACAGATACCAATATTTTCATTGTTCTTTCATTGGCAACGCCAGCCTTGCAGTACACACCTGTTCTTGCTTATATAGCTACTGAAACAAAAAATCTCGGTACTTACTCGACATGCCGAACATGCTTCCGATCTCTGCCCAAGCCCGGTCCTTCTTTGTCCGATCTTTAAAAGAAGGGTGCCGCTTGTCATACAGATATGGGTACATTTTAATCGCGTCGATGAGGAGCTCGGCCGAGTACCCAAAGCTGGCCGTGGTGGCATTCGCCTGATGCGAGGAAAAATCCACGGAGGAACGTACGTGTCGTTCGTACCTCACGGCAGTAGGCAAGCGCAACGAGAAAAAAATAACATACGAGGTGGCCGGATGTAAACAAAGGCTGACGTCACTTCTGGTCTTCGCTGATTGGTTAAAGTGTTTTGCGACTGCAGTCGCGCGACCAAAAAATCGGTCAGGAAGCGACTGGCCAAAACAGTCGCTTTGCGACTGTTTGCGACCGTTCGCGACTGCTTGCGACCAGTCGCAAATGGTCACGCGACCGCGGCTAGTCGCCGGTGTAAACCAGCCTTAAGGTAGTTGGCTGCTGACCCGCAGGGCGCGGGTTCGAATCCAGGCTGCGGCGGCTGCATTTCCGATGGAGGCGGAAATGTTGTAGGCCCGTGTGCTCAGATTTGGGGGCACGTTAAAGAACCACAGGTGGTCGAAATTTCCGCAGCCCTCCACTACGGCGTCTCTCGTAATCATATAGTGGTTTTGGGACGTTAAACCCCACATATCAATCAACATGTGCAGCAAGTCCGCGGTTACATAATTGACGTGTTGATAGATATTGCGTGAATTGTATACTGATCCTCCTATAGAATTCGTCTACTGAATAGTTTCCGCGTGTCGGGAAGTTCTGCTACTTTAATCGGGTACAACTCGCCGTACGTTGCATGCTCCAAACAGCCATATCGGACTCGCGCCTTCGTGTTCGCTCTGAAAAGTGATTTCTTCCTCCATTTATTGATTACTCGTGTTTTTCACCTGATTCAATGTTGAGTGTGCTTCCGAAGACAATGCTCGACCCCTGGTGTGACAAGCAGTGACTGATGTTATGCGAGAGCGTGAGCTTTTTGACGGGCGACTGAAGAGTGCACAGCCTATGCCAAAACTTCGTTAAGTTGAAGAAAGTCACTGAACTACGTAACTGGGTTACTTCAGTGCGTGACAAATGGTATGATGGAAGCGATGGCCCGGGCGGCTTGTTGGCACAGCGGGGATCACAAATCAGAGACTCGATAGGCAGGTATGTTTTTGAGGTGGCTTATTTTATATCACCGTAAGAAGGTGTCGCTCTGTGCGTTGATTGCATGTTTTACAGTCGCGTTGCGCTACGTGATCTATCGTTCGGTCATGCAAACCTCTTGTCGTGGTGTCAGTCTTTGGCTGTTTATTGCACGTGATTATCTTTTGATCCCTTGTCGCCCTGTAAAAGTGTCTGCTTTTACACATACTGGTGTCGCGAGAGCAGTTCACGTTCATCCAACTCGATAGTTTGTGCGTTTTTACGCGCAAAACAATCACACGACTGGGCACGTAGATAGAAAAACGCATAGCCCTGTCAAGCACACACGAATGATGTTTTAGTGGCTGCGCTGCGAATCCTTGTGCCAAAAATCAATGTAATTTCTCTATGGTTAGAAATTCACCCTAGATGCCTCTTAAATGTTTTAAGAAAGCTAACTTGAAATATACGTATTTCC